GATGTTAATTCATATTCCTTTAGACAGGGCACACCTCCTCCAGGTTACCCAGTCCCCACAGGCTTCCCCAGTCATTGCTGGGTGTTGAGATCTCATGTATTGGCCACCCTTGCATTGGGACCGGGTTCCAAGTCCCATCTGTTGGCTACGGACCTTGGAGCGAGATGCAAGGATGAGGAACCTTGTGCAGGATGTTTCCCTTCGAGGCTATGGTGGGTCTGAATCGGCACGCTCCCTTCTTATAGGCAAGGTACTTCCCATAAGTTTATTCCTCTGGTCTAATGGGACTGAACGTCCATTCTCTGGGATAGTGAGAAATTCAGATCTCACATAATGAAGGTTCCCTCACAGCCCTGGGGTGATGTGAAGTTTTCAGAACTTTTGGGAGAATCTCTGGTCTTCTTCTGCCCCTCTTGTCCTCATTGCTCATGGTTTCCTGGGCCCATGGGGGCCCTGAGACCCTCACTGGGGTGCAGGATTTTTGTTAAACCTGTGACCTCTGACTCCAAAGTCCAGCTTTCCCAGGCTGTTTTCCTAGAAGGTCCTGACATCTCCATAGGGGGCTGTGGAGGTCCTGTAGCTCATGGACCCCCAAAAACTTCTCCCCAGGGGTCTGCTGGCTCTATCCTCCTCCTGCACAAATTCCCTCCTCTGCCCCTCCCTGAAGTGGGGCAGCGTTACCCTCCAGGGGCCCCCTGGGAACACAGTGGATCTTTAGGGAACTCTCCTCCTGGGGAGGAGAGGCTGACACCCATTCGTCTGCTTGATCTTGGTAGCTCATCTTGGGTCAGAGGGAATCAGAGTGGGAGGAAGTGATGGGAGAAAGGGCATCTTCATGGGGCAAAAATGAGGCAGTTACCAGGTAATGTCCAATGGTTAGGGGGAGACAACGGAAGGTGCGGGGCCGTAGGGGAACCCACATATCCCTGCAGCTGCCACTTGGCTGGACTCCTGCCTGCTGAGCTGTCCTAGCTGTGTCACCTGGTGGTTGGCACCAAGCCCTACAGATCCACCCTGTAATAAGCACTACAGAAACTCTAGCATTAGTGATTTTCACTTTTTATAGGTAGGGAAATTGAGGCGCCAAAAGGCTAACGTTGATGTTACATATCTAATAGGTGATGGAGCCAGGCTGAACCCATGCAGGTCTGGCTCTAGAGCCACATACCACCACTCTTCTGTGTTTGGATTTTAGTTATTAGACTTGGTGACCATTGAAATATCCAGTTGTCCTTATGTCATTACTATGATTTTTCCTTAAAACTCAGCTTTGCCCTGCACAGGGAGTGTTGGGCCAAGTTTGACCATCTCTCTCAAACATCTTCTATTTGGTCTTGTCTACGTAGCAGAAATAGAAGCGTGAGAGCCATTTTATTTAGTCCCTGGTGGATTTTCCCTATCTGCATGGAGGTATGTTCTCAGAGAGTTACTTTTAGGACCTAGTAGCTCTGCACAGTGGGAATGGCTAGCTGCAAATGGGAATAGATAGCTGGAAAAACTTTAGGGCATGGAGTTTGGGGTCTATGTACTGGGTTGAGTCCATCACTTACTGGCTATGTGGTCTTGGGCAAGTCATCGAAAGCTCAGAGCCTCAGTTTGCTTGTCTCTAAAATGGGGATTCTCAGAACTACATTGTAGGTTGTTGTGGAATTAAAGAGAAAGTAAACACACTTTTACAATAAAACTACTCAACAAACTAGAAATAGAAGAGAACTTCCCCAACCCGATAAAGAGTATCTATGAAAAAGAATACAGTTAACATCATACTTGTGGTACAAGAATGAATTCTTTCCCTTTCATATCAGGAACAAGACAAGGATGCCTGCTCTTGCCACTTCTATTCAACATTATACTGGAGGTTTTGGCCAGAGCAATTAGTCAAGAAAAAGAAATAAATGACATCGAGATTAAAAGGAAAAAGTGAAACCATATCTATTTGTAGATTACATGGTCTTGTATATAGTAAATCCTAAGAATCCACTAAAAACTATCAGAACTGATAAATGAATTCAGCAGGATTTCAGGGTACAAGGTCAGAGCAAAAGCCCATAAAATGTTTTAATTTCTTTCAGAATCAGAATAAAAAAAATCTTTTAGGTGAAGAAAAATTTTAATATATAATGTTAATATATTAATCTTTAACCAATGCATTTGTAAAATTCAATTTTTTTAAATTTATTTATTTATTTTTTGCGGTACGCAGGCCTCTCACTGTTGTGGCCTCTCCCGTTGCGGAGCACCGGCTCCGGACGCACAGGCTCAGTGGCCATGGCTCATGGACCCAGCCGCGCCGCGGCACATGGGATCTTCCCGGACCGGGGCACGAACCCGCGTCCCCTACATCGGCAGGCGGACTCTCAACCACTGCGCCACCAGGGAAGCCCCCTAAAATACAATTTTTAATTTAATTTGTCTTTATTGAGGAAGAGACTCCAAAGGCAAAATAACCTAGGGTCCACAAAAGTCTTAATGGGGCCCTGGCTGCTGGTCTGAATTTAGCCATTAAAATTTTCCCTCTCTAGCTCTGAGAAAACAATATAACATAAAGAAAGTTTAAGATGATGCATTCAAAATCTATCCATTCTTAGCACACTACCTATTCTCATTTTAAAAAATCCTCTTCTGGTTCTTGGCTGTCAGCAAACATCTCTTTATAATCTCAGTATCATTGACTTGCTGTGTGGTCCTGGCTGATCACTCAGTGGCCCTGAGCCTCTTCTATAAAGGAAGGAGAGGGTCCTACATCTCAATGTAGAGCCTGGGGAGGAAGCAAGCATGATGGAATCACAGGAGTGGCATCCATCCACCTGTGGCCTCATGATTCTTTGGAAGGGGTGACATATATAAGAGAGGAATCCACTCCTTAACTCAGCACTTAAGACCCTTCGTGATCTGGCCCCAGCCTTCCTTCTCAGCCTCATCTCTTACCACTCCCTGATATCTGCCTTTGCATTTGTATGGGGCTGGAAGGAGGTTCAGGACCCCAAACGGGTTTCAAGGGACCTTCTTAGAGGAAAATTTAGGAAACTTCAAGCAGACACAAGAATTGAGAATGCTGGAAGCTTCCAGATTCTTTTCATCCCCAACCTACATTGACTCCATTTGGACTCAAAGTCTATCTCCTTGTCGGGCTCATCAGTGAAATCTATTTCTTGCTGCTATGCTCAGCAGTAAAACCCTTGAACTAGGAGTTGCAAGCTCACCCTAAAGGTCAGCGAATCTAGTGTCTCAGGGACCAGTGAGGTCTAAGGTCTAGGGGTAAAGCAACAGGGTGTGGTGGGGACTGTGGCAAAGTATAGAGCACGTGTCCCATCTGAGAAAGGACCTTAAGGCTAGGTCACATCTTGCTCTCACTGTGTCCTTGATGGCCAGCATAGGGCCTGGCATCAAGGAGGCTGGGAGGAAAGACTGAAGAGTTGAAGTTTCTTATAGGCATAAGGTTTGGGTGGAAGGCATTCGTTTGTTCATTCATTCATTTACTCATTCATATACCCCTTCAATAAATATTTATTGAGCACTCTCTATGTACCAGGCAGTGTTCTAGGTGCTAGGGGTCCAGCGGGAAGAGAGATGGGGAGAGTCAGGGAAAAGGTGTTTGGAATATTAAATAGACTAGTTAGGAAAGGCCTTCCTTAGAAGGTAAGACTTGGGGAAAGTGATAAAGGAGAGGAAGGGCAAACCATTCAGCTGTCTGGGGGAGGAATGCTCCAGGGAGAAGTAATAGCACGTGCAAAGGTCCTGAGGCAGGAATGTGGCTGGCACATTTAAGGATCAGCAAGGAGGCCAGTGTGGCTGGAGTGGAGTGAGCAAGGGGCAAGCCAGTAGGAAGTGAGGTCAGGGAGGTGATGGGGGCACAGATCACACAGGGCCTTATAGGCCATGGTAAGGACTTAGGTTCTGACTCTGAGTGAATTGAGAACCGTGGGAAAGTTCTGAGAGGAGACGTAATCCATCTTAGGTTATAACAGGACCCTTCTGGTGACTGTGTGGATAAGGGCAGAAACAGGGAGACCCATGCAGAGGCTACTGCAGTAATCCAGGAGGAGATGATGGGGCTGGAACCAGAGGAGGTGGTGAAAAGTAGTTGGATTCTAAGTATATTGGGAAGGTGGACCTGCAGATCAGATGGGGAGGTGTGAGAGAAAGAGAGAAACAAAGGATGATATCAAGGTTCTGGCCTGAGCATCTGGGAGGATGGAGGTACCGTTTTCTGAGCTGGGGATGAATTGAAGATGTGGTACCTGCCTTCACGGGGCTTCCACTTCCAGCTTGTGAGAATCACACACAAAATGATAAGAGTTATAAGGTGACTAGCTGCCACCTAGGAGAGGCCATGGTGCCATGAGAGCTTCTACTAGGGATGAAGTGTGTTCCCAGTCGGGGGGTGGGGGAAGGGAACACGAAGAGTATAGGAGCTGAGAGTAGGGGAGGGGAGGAGGGGCGGGGAGGGGGTGTGGATGGAGAGGCCGGTGGAGGCCAGTCCTGGATCCATGTGAAAGAATTTGGGCTTTATTTTGGGATAAAGTGTTTTGAGCAGGAGTGTGCGTACTTGCGTGTGTGCATGTGATGTAATCAGAGCTGTGTGGTTTGAAAATACCCCTCCAGCTGCAGTGTGGAGAGTGGATTCGACAGAAGCCAGAGTGGAGGTCCAGGGAGCCCAGTGACGGCTTCAGCCCTCATCCTGCTGGGCCTGGAAGGGGTGGAGTCCGTGGAAAGGGCAGGAGGGCTTTGAGGAGGTGGGAGTGACAGGGCTGGATGGATTGGACCGGGAGGTGACGGAAGGAGGCATCATAGGGACTTGCGGCTTCGCCATCCACATTCCTCAGGACATTGGCTTTCTGGGAATTAGGGTTTAGAGAAAGATGCTGCTCAGGTTAGAGATGTTTGGGCCCCCGCTACCCCCAGATCCGTACAGGGCTCGTGGGAGGGGGAGAGGCGGAAGCCTGAAGCTCTCACTTCCTTTCATATTCTGAAAACCTGTCTTTCTTTTTTTTTCAAAGGTGAGAAATGCCGCAGCTTCATTGACCTGGCCCCAGCATCAGAGAAAGGTAAGTGTGGCCCCAGCTCCGGTGTGCCAGCCTTGCCCTCTCCAGGGACACTTCCCGAAGCCCTGATCCTGTCCTTCAGCATCCCTGGGTGATGGTGCCCCAGGGGCCAGAATCCTGTTGCAAAGCGCTGAGTTCCTTGAGCGGTTAGTGCAGGGGGAGAGGCAGGTGGAGGGACATCATCTTGCCCTCCCCCGCCCCCCAAGTGAGATGGTGCTGAGAGCCATTACACTTCCCTTACTTCCAGTGCGTGCTGGGACTTTGGGGGAGGTAGGCTGGGCGTGCGAAAGTTGGGATGAGGCAAGACCAGTGTTGGCATTGCTTCCAAGTGTAGGATTTGACCTTGGGGGAGGGAAGCCAGACGTTCTGTCTCTGTCGTCTCACAGGTGTGGGGAGGTCCAGCCTGATCGGGCACTGCCATTCAGAAAGGACCCACTGGTGTGCAGGGCTTGACAGCGGAGATTCTGAGCCCAGTGATGCCCAGATATGATTAGGACAGGGCTGCAGCTCGTGTAGGGGGCAGAGCCGTCAGGATTATGTTTAGCTGCAAGTAATGGCGGCCCTAAGTAACTGGCTTCAGTGGAGAAATGTATTGATTCCTTTTAAAAGTTTCAAATCTAGGGTGGCTCTGCTTCATGCGGTCCTCAGGATCCCGGCCCCTGGGGGCCTCTCCATCATCCCTGTGGCCTTTGTCCTCATGGACTAACAGGATGGCTAGAGCTACAGCTGTCACATCTGCACTCCAGGCAACAGGGTAGAGGAAAGGCAAAGAAGAAAGGGCAAAGGTTGCATGTCAACAGTAAGGTTCCCAGAAGTTGCCCCATGACACGGGCTTATATCCCCTTGGCCAGAACTTGATCACAGCTGCAAGGGAGGCTGGGAAATGAGGTCTTTATCCTGGCAACCATGTGCTCAGCTGAAAGGCAGGGGTTTTATCATTAGGAAAGAACAGGAGAATGGATACTGGAGGATGCGCTCCCACAGGAGCGTAGGGCACGGCCGCCTCCCTACTTCCCTGCCCTGCCGCCAAGGAGAACCCTCGCCAAGAGAGAACAGGTGTGCAGGTCTCTTCAGACAGCCTGGAGGTCAGGAGAGGGCTCTGGTCCTGGGAGTCGGGGTGGGGAAACTGAGACAAGAGTTCAGTCCTAAACTGTCCCGACATGGGGGGCCTTGGTGGGCCGAGGCTCAGGGGAAATTCTTACATCCAGTCTGTGCGGTCACCCACGGCCCCTGCTGGTGGGGCTGAGTTTGCAGTTTCCCTGCAGTGTCAGGAGGTTCAAGGGCCTGAAGTGCCCCGTCTCTGACCCCTCCAGGGTGTTGGGAGAGGTGGGACAGGCAAGGGGGCTGCGTGTCTTTGAGGCTGGTGACGTTCCTGTCTCACAGACGCTGTCCCCTTGAAGAGTTCCAGCCAAGTGGCAGCTGGTGAGACTGAGGGGCATGTGACAGGGAGCCCATAGTGCTCTCGGGTCCAGGAAGAGGCTGAGCTCCCCCTCTGAGCAAGCTTTTTGCAGTGGGGACTACCTCCTCTGTTTCCTCTGCTTCCCAGTGACGATGCCCTGTTTCGTGGCTACTTGTGGCCATCCCTGAAGTTTCGAGCTGAGCAACTCGGGCCACAGCTTCCAAACTGAGTTCTTCAGAAAATACTACAGCTGCTAATAAATAGCTGATATTTACTGAGCAGGTACAATGTGTCAGGCACTGGGCCAAGCACTTTAAATGTATCAACTGAGAAACCTCCCCACAACCTTGCTAAGAAGAGGCTGACATTCTCACCCCACTTGACAGATGAGAAAACTGAGCCATTAAGCTGAGACATTAAGCCACTCACATCTCACATCTCACAAGGAGCAGAGCCCATGCTCCGTACCCCTCCGTTGTACTGCATATGAGAAGCCAATACCTGTAGGCAACCTCTACGATGCTCATCCCATAATCCCCAAGGCCTTGGAGTTCCTGGGTCACCTCTGCTCCGAATCTGGCTTCCAGGAAGCTGGGCCTGTGTGTGCATATGTAAATGTGTGTGCATGTCTGGTTGAGGGCGAGGATATGCATGCATGGGCAGGTGCTCCTCTGAGAGTGTGCACATGGGTCTCGTGTGTGTGCCTGCATGCACACTCGTGGGTGAGTGTGGGCACGGAGGCATGTACACATGTGTGCACGTATGAGCGTGTGGATGTGTGTACATGCGTGTGTGTGTCCACATACAGTGTGGACTGTATGGTGGCTTATTCCTGCCTCGTGTATGAGGACCGGGGTCCCAGAGGGCTTGTATCTTTGTGTTTTCCTGGCCTCGTGATTTTGCTTTCAGGGCTTGGTGGCCACGCCGAAGACCTTCTGGCTGTGTGTATAAAAATGTTTATAGGAAGCCTGAGTGGGCTGGCTTTGCAGACCAGTTTTCATGGGCTCCCTGCCTCTCAAGCACTTAGGCTCACCTTTGGGGCTGGCGGGGTTTGGTCAGGCAGCTCTGTGGGCTGTTCCTGAACCTCCCGGCCCAGTCCTCCCAGGGGCACCTGCAGGAGCCTAGTGTCCCCGGACCCCTCCATGTGCTCGCCGAGTCCTCTCCACGCTGTCTGTTTCACAGATGAGGACCCCAGGCTGCAGAGAGAGGGGGACTGGTTCAGGGTCACACAGGGAGTCCGGGCCGATATTGGAGCCCAGACGTGTTCTCTCCCAAAGAACACTCTTCTCCCACGTTCTGGCCGCACCCACTCCTGCTGTGACTTCCTTCCTGCTCTGCAAAATCCGATCATAATAATTAGTGTTAGGTGACACCAACACAAACTGGCTTTCATGCTGCGCTTACCACGTGCCAGGTGCTGTTCTGAGAACTTTATACCTGGTGGCTCATTTAATCCCCATTTTACAGATGAGGAGACTGAGGCCTAGAGAGTTAATTGACTTGCCCAAAGTCACACAGTTAGGATGCTGGGATTTAAAACTGAGCTGTCTGGCTCTTAAATGCCTGGTTCTTCTGCTGAAAAGCTAGGCCTTCCGAGCCTCTCTCTCTGTGTGTGTGTGTGTGTGTGTGTGTGTGTGTGTGTGTGTGTGTGTGTGTGTGTGTGTGTGTGTGTAATTGAGGCCCTTCTGAAATGGGCCCCATCTTTGCCATTTTCTCCAATACCCTCTGTCCTTTCCTCCCTACCCTCTCCCCTGGCAAAATGCGTGTCTGTCATCAGTGTTTTTCCCATGGCATATTTTTGTTAGTTCTCCTGATCATTCTAGCTTTGTGCGTCATGTGGGAAATACCTTTTCATTTTAAACTAGCTTAAGCCACAACCATTTTTCATCTGGATTCCTGCCACAGTCTCTCAACTGGTTATGTCCTTCCATTTTTGACCCCTGCTTCACCGGTGGCCAGAATGACCCTGTTGAAGCATCGATCATCTCACGTGGCTCCCTGTTTAAAACCCTCCCTTGGCTCCATCTCATTCAGAGTAAAATTCAGTGTCCTCATCTTGGCCGGTAAGGTCTGGGGGATCTGGCCCTGTACATCCGGGATCTCATCTCCTGTCATCTCCCCTCCCTCACCATACTTCAGGTCTCCAAAATCTTTACTGTTCCTGAGTCAGCCAAGCTAGTGTGTGCCTTGCTGTTGCCTGCTCCTGGAACACTGTTCTCTCAGCTCTCTGCACAGCTGGTCCCTTCTCATCACTTAAACGTCACACCTTCAGGGCAGCCTTCCTTGAACACCCTTAGAGCAGCCCTTCCTCCTGCCAAGTCCTTCTCCACTCTCTTCAATGTTTAGTTGTCTTTACATCACATAAGAAATGTACTCAGTGCTTCTTTGATTAACAGTGGTCTCCCCCAAAAGAATGTCAGCTCCATGAGGGCAGGGATTTTTGTTTTGTTTGTGACTCACTGTATCCCCGGGGCCCAAAGCAATGCCTGGCACTGTTGAATTAATGAAAAATGAACATTGATTTTTGACTGTATACACTCTTGTTATAAAAATTATAACAATTTTTAAATGTGTAAATGAGAAATGAAAGTCTCTTATAAGCCCACCCTTAGATATTCACTGGTAATGGTTTGGTTTATTAGTTCCTGAAGAAAGTTAGAAGGATGAAAGATAGATAGATAGGTAGATAGATACATACACACACATACGTATATACACATATATACTTATACACCTGTATAAAATCATAGATTGCTTTTTATATCAGTACATAGAACTCACTTATCTTTTGGAACAGCTGTATAATAGCCCATCACATAGAAACTATTTAACCAAGCCCTATCACTGGACATTCAGATTATGTCCCCAGTACACTTTGAGACTCTTGTATCACAGCTGAATAATAGTAACCTGTACACATATCTTTCTCCCTCACGAGAATGGGGCCCTCCGAGCAGTGGTTTCTTATTTACCTCTGGGCCTCCAGGGCCCAGCCCAGCACTGGAGCCCTACTGGCAGAGCAGAGTAATAAATTCTCTGACAAAGATCTGCCCAGCAGGACATGAGAGGCAGAGGAGGAGGAATGAATTAAGGACGCTTGAGCAGTTTGTGAAGATGAAATGTGCAAATGCAGATAAACAGCAACGTCTGTGTATTGTGAACTTGTTACTGAAAATGCAGAGGAAAAGCTTCTTATGCTTCCTAATCTTCCTCTTCAAGGTTTCCCTTGTCTCTCCAAATCGCAACCTCTTATCCCCTGGGGCCAGATTCTCCTACCAAATAATTGTGACCAACTGGATACTTTTCAAACCTAGTGTATTGGTCAGCAATAGTCACTATAATGCTGTGTAACAAGCCATCCACAAACTCAGTGGCACTCGGCATGTATTGTTTTGCTTGCATGTCTGTGGGTTGACTTAGGTTTAGCTGATGTAGGCTGTCTTGGTTCCAGGCTGCAGACTGGGCTCAAGTCCACTCCACGTGTATTCTTTTTTGGGGGCCAAATAGAGGGGACAGAAATGCAAGGTGGCTAACTGCACAAGTACATAAAAAAAAAAAAAAATTCCTTTTTTTTTTTTGGCTGCACTGTGCAGCATGCAGGGTCTTAGTACCCCGACCAGGGATTGCACCCATGCCACCTGCCATGGAAGCGTGGAGTCTTAACCGCTGGACTGCCACGGGAGTCCCATGCACAAG